TGCAGAGCTTGGTGGTGGTCGAGGACATCACTAGAGCTTGCAGAGCTTGGTGGTGGTCGAGATAGGGCGAAAGCCTGTTGAAGACATCACTAGAGCTTGCGGAGCTCGGCGGTGATCGAGATAAGGCGAAAGCCTGTTGACATCGCTTGAGCTCGCGGAGCTCGGCGGTGATCGAGATAGGGCGAAAGCCTGTTGACATCGCTTGAGCTCGTGGAGCTCGACGGTGACTGAGATAGGGTGAAAACTTGTTGATGACGTTTGAGCTCGCGGAGCTTGACGGTGACTGAGATAGGGCGAAAGCCTGTTGAAAATGTCACTCGAGCTCGCGGAGTTCGGCAGTGGCCAAGTTTAGGGCTAAAGCTTGTTGGAGACATCGCTCGAGCTCCGGAGCTCCGCGATGTCCAATTCGAACGGTTATCGAGCCTATCTTAGCCTGGCATGAAGTTAAACTCGTTGCCGCATTAGGGCAGGATAGTCGTTATGTTTATAAGCCCGGCAGTATAGTTATGCCCGACAGTATCATTATGTTTATAAGCTCGGCAGTATCGTTATGCCTGACAGTATCATTATGTTTATGAGCTCGGCAGAATCATTGTGTTTATAAGCTCACCAGTATCGTTGTTTTTATGAGATCGACAGCGAGTCCTTAGACTCGTAGCCAAACTTAGGGCGAAAGTTTATTGTGGCGTTGCTCGAGTTCTTGGAGCTCGGCAGTGGTCCTTTGACTTGTAGCTAGATCAAGGGTAATTAGCACGTCGTAGCGGTGCCCGAGCTTGTAGAGCTCGTGAGATCGTAGATAAAAGAGTCATTGTTACAACTTGAGCAGATAGTACGAATGCCAAATATTTTAACGTGGCAGAACATCGAGCAGGTTGCTCGTGGGCCACAAAGGCAATGAAAGTGAAAAGTTAGCTCAAGAGCCATATTTTCATGCAGTTGGCTGCAAAACTCCAACGTGGTAGACTGTGGGGGCTGGATGAGCCCAGGACCCCGATGCTATAGTCCTATGAAAGGATGAAAAGAGTAAGCTAACGTTAGTTAAGGCGCTCCCATCGTAGTTTAGCTCTTAAGCAATAAGAATCCCGCGGAGTGGAGATCTTTTTTCAAGACTGAAGACACTTGGGCAAGACATTATTGTTCTACTCTTAGACAAGTCTTATATTCATAAGCTCGTCTAGAGTG